AACTTGCTTAACTGTGCTTACTGACACCTCAGATGAGTATGTTGTCTGAAGAATTACTTTTATCCTTACCCACAGCTACTCCAAAACTGATAGAAGATAACTTCTACAGCCAAAACTTAGCTATTGAGGTACCTAACCAAAAGGTTTGTATTGCTCCCCCCGCCTCCAAAAAAGAAAATAAGCAAAACAATCCAGGATCAGAAAACTGAAGAACTTTTTCAGATTATCACTACCACTAAAACCTGACAACAAGGCTACATTACAGATACCAATCACAAGATACAGGTTACAAAATTCAGCATTGCATGCTGTGACAACTGTGCTTAACACAATGTTAGACAAGCTCCTAGTAGACTATAAAACTGTGAGGAAAGCTCTGAGCCAGTAGTCTTGTGCCCACTCAAGCTCCAGAAATATATCTCCACCTATTTATTCTCCAAAACTTGTGGTAAATACATCCTTCCATAAAATGTGAAAGTGCAATTTTCTAGAACATGCATTTGGAAGATAGTATTTTCTTACCTAAGATTTCCTTTTATTTTCTTGATAAATGAACCCAAGAACACATGAACTGCAGAGCCATACCAAAGCACTTCTAAATACAACTAATATAACTATTTCTATATCTAAGAGTCTGACTTTTTTTCCTTCATATTCATTACCCAGCATGCTACCACAGTATACAAAACACATGTGCTGTCCAGGGTAATTTACTGGTGGCATGTAGTTGGAACCATTTTGCTGGTGAAGAGTTAGTTTTGATGACACTTTTTGGATCACATACACATGTTTCGCTTGAAAATGATCCAGCTCATCTTTCAAAGAAAAAAAAAAAAAAAAGTCCAGAACTTAGAGATTAAACTTTGTAAGTAAATTTGTGCATCTTGGGATACATTATTATGAAACAGGGGGTGTGGGGGTGTGTGTGTGTGGAATTAAAGCAGCTAATTCCTCTCATCCAAAATGCTAAATATAGCTAGCTGGCCTGTCAGCGGAATATTGTATCTATATTTGATCATAGATACTAGAATTCTAGAGATGAAGACAAAAATCAAACTGCTATGCCAACAGGCCACAAGACTCAGCATGATATAGTTTCAAATAACATAACTTAAGCTGTCTTTTCTTCTGTGAAACGTTCAGTGTGCACACTAAGTGCAATAATTCCATATTTAAGCCAAACAAACTACTGGCATGTGAGCTTTATTTAACACCAGGGAGTTTAAAGAGACTATCATAATAATACATAAGTATTGATACATGATAGATAACTACAAGCCACTTATTTTCCAAGGCTTTAGGAATCCTGTCAGTCTGATTAGACTGATAAATACAGCAGCTGCATAAATAGGTATTTAATTTTGTAACTCTGCCATTAACTTTCTTTCCAAGATACATTTAAGTTTTAGACTATTTATGAATGCCCTAATTCCTTGAGTAATAGTTCCCTCTTTACTCAGTATTATATTTTGCTGTGTTAATGTCAGGCCACCCAAAAGATTTTTCCCCAATTCCTACAAATATGTCTCCATAACTTCAAAAAAATCAAATAATTTGTAAGTGAATGAGCCATACACAAGCCTTCGAACTCTGTGCTCTAGTCTCTTACTATGTGGATTATTTATTTTTTTTTTTTTTAATAAATATGACAGAGCTGGAGCTGAATGCTTTTGCTTCCCCCTTTTGGTAAGTTGAAGAGAACTCTAGGAGAGCTTTAAGCAGAAAGCTTTGAAGGATCCACATGATAGGGAAACACAGATCACTGTTCTCCAAGCTCAATACTGAAGATCTGCTGTACAGAAGGACCTTCATGTCACAGAACTTCAGAACCTGGTCATCACCTTGCTCCTGCTTCTCTGCAAGTCCCATTCAACCACTAAATCTGGAAGTATTTCCTAGATAGTAAGTTTATGTCCCATATTAATAACTACTTATCCAGCAATAGCATTATTCTTCCAGAAAAAAGTATGTTAGAGTAGGTACAAGAATCTCAAATTGTCATGAAATAAGCATTTTCACAGCAGTTTTATTAGATACAATTCTGCAATCTGAACCACTGTATTTTGGTACTTCACTTGAGCTTTATTGTAAAGCCGCAAGAAAACTGAATAAGCAACAGCTTATCTTAGACTATGATTTAACATTTTTCAAATCTGTATCCTGACGTATCACAGGAAAAAAATTTCCTAGCCTGCAGAAGTTCAGTTCCAGCAATTCACAAGTGCAGCCAAGTTAGTTATTCTTGCAACAGACTGGAAGGAAAGATAGCATTACACTCCTGCTACAGTTTTATGCATCTGCAAATTATAGTAAACCAGAGCTGGCTTGTTTCAAACCAGGAATGGATTTCATCCCTATGTTTTCAATATCAGAAGCATTCAAGTTATCACAGCATGAAATAACAGGTTTTTAATACTGCAGTGGATTTTATGCTGTGGAAATTGCTACATGATGCAGTGGTGACATGTTTATATAGAACACTCATGGGAAGGATTATACAAATCATGAATGTCAGCAAATGAAAAGCATCTGTTCAGGCTGTGGCATGCTGCTAAGGCTGTCCTGACTGCCAGTTTGTGATATGGTACACAGTCCAGTTGGAATCACATCAGCAAAGCAGTGACAGACTCTCATGTCACTGTCTACTGCAGAAGTTGGGCAGTCCTCAGGTTGTAGCCGCTAACAAAGCAAGCTCAGATTACCTGTGTTCTGCATGGAGAGCAAACAATCGGTCTTATTTCAGATGTTTCAAGGGGACAATACTAGAGCCCCAATTTATGATTTTATATAGAAGCACACTGAGGGTTGATTAATGATCAAGGGATGATGAAGAATTTTCCATCACATAAACAAAACCTCAACAAAAACCCAGAGAGTACAGACAACTACTGAAGCAATATTACATGAAAGATCCATGTCTTTATAAAACCCATTTACAGCTTTTTGGAAGAAACACCCTCCAAGAATAGTTAAAAGCCTGCATAATGCTCCAGAGTATTAGCTTTGCTTTTGGACCACCAGTTTAGCTGACATGGAAACAACTAGCTGTATAAAACTTCACACATCTAGACACATTGTTCTATTTAAGTCAGCACTGACTTGCACCAAAAAAAATTGGCTTCAAATCAGCTGATTCGGATGATACCTTATGAATTAAGTACTATTACTTTTAATAGAAGTCCACCCACTCCTGGTCAAGCCAACCTTTTCTGGGATCATGAAGGGGTAGACAAGGAAAAAAGCTTTGCCAAAAGTGGAAAAAACAGAAAAAAATGAAAGGCAAAGCAGGACACCAGATCTGCAGGAAGCATACATATGAACAGATCCTCAGCTGGGGTGTTGACTGCTCCTTAGAAGCTTAAGCCAAGATTTCAAGTTCCACAGGTCAGATCTAACTATACCTTCTTGGAGTAATTTTATTTCTGAATGAAACTTACGGAAACCAAATCATAGCAATACTAGACTTAGTTTTCTATAACACACAGAGGGTGCTTTAAAAAGGTTTCTGAAACTGTTATAAATAAGTGTATGACTTGGGCCTGAAGGAAGAACAGCTGGAGAATTTAGGATCCTCCCATATTTTAATTCATGGTGATGTCATAATTTAGAGTTCTTGGAAACTTTGTCAATTCAGCATTTAAACCACATCAATAGCAGTCATTAAATCTAGTGCACATCTCTGTTTGCTTAAGCATCAATTTAACTTTTATGAAGGAGAACATGCAGAGCTCATAGTTGTAAGTAATCATACGAGCTTTCTCAGAACATTTCAAGTTGTCTTAAAATACACTTTCAGAGTTTGAAAGTTTCTAAATACACTATCTTGTGTGCATTGAAGTTTAAGCACTCTCTCTGCAAGCTCTACAATACATTGAGAAAAGACTGCTGTGCCATTAGGTGTTTCACAGCACAGATTTGAAGGGGCTCCTTCAGGGTTATGAAACAGCATTTCTCTTCCACATTAAAAAAAAAAATCATCAAGTTTGGGAGGGCCTTCTAAGTTTTGAAGATGAGGCATTTTACAGAATTTTGCTATGAAAAGGTAAGACAAGCCAAACAAGGCTTAAGTTGAAGTATATTTCAGATTGCTTAATCCTTTGATTGTTATGCAAGTTTATTTCATAACCTTATTTGAAGGACCAAAGAACAGTTTTAGTACTAACAATGGGCTTAGTCTGACAGCTAATGCTAACCCAAGTGTGCATCATGCCCTCCTTCAACACTCCAATTTATGTAACTCCACACCATCATGGGTTTAAAAATAAACCACACAGGAAAGCAAGGTTGAGATAGAGTAAGATCACATAACTTGTTCTCTTTGATTAGCATCTGCTCATTATGTAGACAATATCACCCCAGAAACCACGGTACAGATTTGCTTACTTCTCCTGGCAGCCCCCAGAGAAAGCTATGAGGACAAATACGCAGGATTCCTGAAAAAGTGTTCTTGGCTTGATTTCTTGAGAAATCTTTTTTGCCATCCTCCCAGCCTTCAAAAGGAACAATTTGCCTCCAAGGCAATTCAAACAACATTTCCAGCAGGGGTTTTAAGTATTTTTTTCCAGAAATGTGCAAGTTTGGTATTGCAACTATCATTAAAAGAGCATCTTAAAGCTGTCAACATGCCAGCAGAAGACTATAGAAGGAAGGCTCAGAAGCCATTCATTAACAGTAACAAACTTTACAGATTCAGAGGTTACGCTTACAAAGGTTTCATATCCAGGGCTAGAAAATAGGGCACGAAACTTGAAACTCCGGGTTATAAGAATATATAGTTGATTTAAAGCTATTTGTTAATAATACC